GTGATCTCATTGTATTAAAAGTAAGGGAAATTATACAATGAGATCATTTACCTTTTATACAAGGTGGTCACAATTATGTATAACCATTGGATGTGAAATCTCATAGCTTGGGTGTGTCACAAAGTTCGAATATTTTTTTTTTGAAGTTTGAGTTTGGTCAATAGAATAAATGCAGCAATCTAATTCACATCCAATGGTCAAGATTAATTGTGACCACCTTGTACCAAAGATAAATGATCTCATTGTATGCTTTTCCTAAAATAAATGGTCTCTATATATATTTAAGAAAGTATAAAATGAGACAATTTATCTTTGGCACAAGGTGGTCTTGACCATTGAATGTGAAATTGGGTGGCTTTAATTGTTTCATTAACCAAGCTCGAACTTCAAAATAAATTTTCTAGAACTTTGTGACACATCCAAGCTATCAAATTTGACATCGGCTGGTTGTAAGTAATTGCGACTACCTTGTATCAAAGGCCAATGACAATACCGATACATTTTTCTTTATTATTTAGGTTAATGTATTAATTATTAGCTCTTAAATCCCAAGTTGCAAGGACCAAAAATGCAAGACTGAGATTTTCTTTTTCTTTTAATTTTTTTAAGTGCAAACCTTGTTTCCTACCGACTAGTATAAACATTACATCATATCCTATTTATTTCCTGTGTTCTTAAAAGCTCGAGAGAGAGAGAGAGAGAGAGACTATTGTCATGGTATTGCCTCTTGCAGTAAAAACAATAAAAGGAAGTAGATTTCATTTATTAAACTTAGCTGTTCTCGCCTGTTCCTTGTTGTTATTTGTCACTAATTTAAATATTCACATTGAGCCGGCTGACCAAAAAAAGAGGAACCATTCAACCCTCAATTCAAACTACCAATGCATATAAATTTGCTAGGTATTTCTTTTCTTTTTTGAAAATTACATATTTACGAGGTCATCAATGCTATTTATTTATTATTAAACAACCTGAAGGGCTTATGCCCATCCCTTTTTTTTTTTATAATGCTAATCCCAGTCTCTCCTATTGAAAAATGCAGTTTTGGCATAAAAAAACTTTCAAATTGATCATCTCTGCCTTAGCCATTATAGTTATGAAAAAAATTAGGATTTCAAGCACTTACAATTGCGTATATATAACACATTATCTAGGCTGTCCATTTCACCCTAAAATAAGTGTTCACAGATCCGAAAGATCTGTACTATTTTTTGAGTGTCAAATCTAAAAGTCAGAGTTTGAGATTGATCTTAGAGCCATTGTAAAGATTTCCGATGCCCAAGGTGCTTTCCACTTGACAATTCAATGTGAGGCTTTGTTTTGCTTTTTATAAACCTAGGCCTTATAGAAATTGCTTCCTTTATTTATAAAAGTGTTACATATAGTCTACAAGAAAAGTACACTAATTTTATTGGATTTCAAACATCTAAGATTCCTAATTTCCCGCTATCCAAACGGCCCTAACACTGTTAGCATGTCTACACTGGATTTTTATTAGCTTGACGATTAAGGGTTGGGAATTGCCGATTTGAGTTTTATTTAATGCATGGGTGATATAGGTTCTTACCCTATAACTCCCTGATTTTTACTTTTGGATGGGGTTCCTATGAGTCCCCGAACTTATATGTGCATATACGCCCTCCCTCTAAATTCCTTAAAAATAGATTTTGAGTGTAAATTTTGAACAGTTTCTTGATCTATGGCATGGAGATCTTGAATATGAAGAAAAAAACAAAACAAAATTCTACATTGCAAAATTGTTTTTTTTCAATTTTTTTTACACCATATATTTTGGGTGCCCTTTCCTAAACATCCTATCTTAAGATGGACTTTGGATGTCATGGCACTGCCCCTAACTCATATAATGTTTCTACTCATTATTTTCCCTCAAATTTTTCCTTATTCAGGCCATTTAGGCAAGTACAATATTTAGATAAGTACAATGTGGGGGTGATTCTAAGTTTTAAAACAATATATAAAGAGACCACTTATTTTTAGCATAAGGTGGCCACAATCACTCGTCTTCTAAATTTCCAATCAGGTGGTTGTGACTTGTGAGTGCGTCATTGAGTACATTTAAAATATAAAAATAATTTTATTGAATTTTGTGATACATCACAAGATATCCCATCCAATTTGACATCTTGTAACTAAGAGTAATTGTGACCTTTTTGTAAGAACCATAACTGATTTAATAATATACTATTTCTTCATTTGGTATAAAAAGAAAAGGACCCAGTTTTCATGAGTCCCCCGACTCATACTATTTTCATGCGGGCTACCTCTAACACTTATTTTTTATATAGATTTTGGATCCAAATTTGTCGAGATCCATGATCTATATTAGATGATCATGAATAATAAAAATAACATGAAATAAAATAAAATTTTAAGTGTTTTTTTCCTATCCATTGGATAGGAATCTATAATTGTAGATAAAACGTTTGTGAGTTAGTAACTTAGCGGGCTAGTGAGTCTGCTGACTCACAAAACAGTTTTCCAAACGAAAATGTCCTAAGCTCCCACCACCACCGTCTAACCGTGCTCATAAAATCGAAAATTAGCACTCTCAATCACTGTAGCCTATTTAGCCTATCAATTACTTATAAATTTAAGAAAAGTAAAACTCTAGAACTTTTACAGTACCGGAAAAGTGATTGGGCGGGGTAAATTGGGATTGGCAAATCGGGTCAGCGCTAGGGTGCTGGACTTGGCACGCACGGTCTCGGTCCAAATACTTGGATCCAACGATATTATATGAGTATGAAATATAAAATTGAACAAGTTAACCAATATCAATAATAAATTATAAAATACATAGGAGAAGTATTTTTTTATTTCTATACTTGGTCCCGACTTGCCAGGTCCAAATGGCATGGACCTGACCCAGTTCTAGGCTCAAATTAGACATAGGACCGGGACTTGACTAGTCCCATTGCTGACCTGGACCTAACTGGGGACCCAATGGGTAGACCCAATCCAAGTCTGGGTATAGATCCAAAAATTGGATCCGACGGATCAAGTTCATGTCCAAATCTTACACCCCGAACACTATTTGTGTCCAATAATATTTTTTAAGTCTCAATATGTGAAATATATTCCAATATACGTAAATACATAGATATTTTAATTTTTGGATTGGGTCTAAATCTGGTCCAAGTCCCTTATCATTTTTCATGTCTGGGTCTAGACCCGACCCGTTGCCACCCCAATCCCGAACCGGAAACGCCCCCCTCTCTCCAAAAGCGGCGACACACAAAGTCTAATCCTATGGGCGCAACCTAACTTGGTTTAGCCACCCCACCCTAGTTGTAGTCGTAGTTTTCTAGACACTTGGAGATTGGATTTATTAAAGAAAAGACAAAGAACAATCAAATACAATCTCAATATGTTTGAAAAGAATCCACAATCCGTGTTATTTGACAATGTAAACATCAAGACCATCCAAGTTCCTCATTGCTTCCCAATAGAAGCTTTTCATTTTGAGCGCTTATGGCATGTCTCTGTAGGAGCATACTGTATAATAACTCCCTCGAGCAAAATAGCTATTTGGAAAAAATTTTTGATTCGAAAGTTTGAGTCCACTTGAGTATCATTAGGGATTATTCTCAAGAAAAAATAGAGTTAGAGTTAATGAACAGGTATTTCTTTCCCCCAAAAAATTGGATAGTTCCAAATCAATCTTGGGATGTGGCAATTTTTACGCACATAGAGAGTGCGAGTTAGTTCTTTGAGGTTGGTTGGGTTATCGAAATTACTTCTCGAAATTTGAATGCAAAAGATCTTCCGAGCTTGAGTTTGTCTGATAGAGCAAATGGATAGAATGCTCATGCGAGAGCATGAAATCTTTTCAAAGTTTCCAAGTATTTTTTTACTTTCGAACAAAATTTTATGAAATTTTTTTCATACGGAAGAACTCACCCGTGTTAGAAGGTAGATACTTTTTTCACACGAATTGGTCCTTTGGTATGAAAAAACTTCCGCGTAAAAAGTTTTCCATATGAACCAAATGTAAAACATTCGCTAATGTTCTAAGGGTGAGGTTTGTATGAAGTGCCCACCTTCTACCGTGCAAGTAAGGAGCATCTCTAAATTTTGTTTGAGGACATAGTTCTAGTGCCATAAATTTTACGATAACTTGAAAAATCCATGCACAACCTTAATTATCAAATTTAGAATTTCAAATCTTGAAATAGATAGGGTAGATAGCTTGTTACAAGATGTATTATTTTTTTAATGTTTCAAATTCTGTTTTTTTTTGCATCTATACTTATTAAGGTCAAGATGATGGATTGGAAGGTTTTTCAACTTTCAAATACTCTTTTTTACTAAAATTTTAATGTATAACTTTAAGACATTTTTTTATATAAGGTTGCAACCTTAAAACGTAGAATCAAAGATGCACCTGAAAAATCCATCATAAAAAGCTGTTTGGATGTTGGAAAACCCTCTAATTGATCATCTCGACATCAAATTGTATGAATATGAAAACAAAAAAAGATTTTGAGTCCTCAAAATAGTGTATCTTGCAACACATTATCTGAACCGTTCATTTTCAAAATTTTCATATATTTTTAGACCTACTTGATTTGAACCATTTTTAGAGTTTAAAAGTTTATAATTAGAGTTGAACATAGATTTTCAAGCCATCTTAAGAATTTTATATATCAAAATTATATTTATGATAAAATTTAGAAGTGCACATCAATTGGATTGTTTAAGGTCTCAACCTATGCAAACCACACCAAATACACTGTTGCGACCTATTCCGGTTAAAGTTTTGAGGTAGGCTCTAATTTGATTGTTTAGAGCCTAGGCTCTATATAAACTTTTCCCCCTCTCTAAAAGGGTTGTTCCGAGCGAACTGTCAATTTTAAAAGAGCGGGACATTTCGGGCATATGCAGGAAAAGGAGGAGTGATTTCGATATTTTTTGCAAAAGACGGAGGTCATTTCCGTCACGTTCGCTACTTTGTAATATATGTTTTTCTCCGATTGTAAGAATGGAGCTGCCGGGTTAGAGAGAGAGAGAGTGTGTTTAGAGAGAGAAAGCGGACACCGAGAGAGAGAGAGAGAGAGGCCCCAAATGCTTCGGCGCCAGGAACGAGTCCAGCAAACAGGACCCCTCCTCCTCCCCTCAAACATTCCCTGCAACTCGAGGAAGCCCTAAATCGCGATGGCCCCTCCCCCCTAAAGAAAAAACCCTAGATTTTCATCTTCTCTCTCCCCGTTTTTCTCTCAGATCGGATCGTCATCAAGTCAATTAGGGTTTCCTGGCTTTCTTGAGAGAGAGAGGAATAGCTATTGGAATCTGTGAAAAGAGAGGGAGAGAGGGAGGTGTGAGGGTGGGGAGGAGAGAGAAAGATGCCTTCTCACGCAGATCTGGACCGTCAGATCGAGCATCTAATGGAGTGCAAGTTCTTGCCTGAATCTGAGGTGAAGGCGCTTTGTGAGCAGGCTAGGGCGATTTTAATGGAGGAGTGGAATGTTCAGCCCGTGAAGTGCCCTGTAACTGTATGCGGAGATATCCATGGACAGTTTCACGATCTCATCGAGCTCTTTCGAATTGGTGGAAAGGCTCCGGATACAAATTACCTTTTTATGGGAGATTACGTAGGTTGGTGACAATCCCTAATATCTCTGTCTCATCTTCCCTTAATCTCTCGCTCTGTTTTAATTTCATTTGATCTCTCTCTTATCTCGCTTTATCTCATATTAGTTTTCTATTTTTAATTTAGTTTTCTTTCCTGAATTTATGAGATTTGAGCCATGAACATTGGTGTGTTATGTGCAGATTCATTTTTATTGTATTTTTATTGATTTGTTTGATACTATCTATGATTGCTTATTGTTGTATCCAGATGATTGAGATTGATTTGGATGGATTGTTCTCTCCTAGATCTTTATTTATTTATTATAACTCTGTTCAGTTATATTCTGGTGATACCTTACCTTTACGTTCCATTTTTTTACCGTCTTTTCCTTTTATTGAGTGTAACTTGGATGATTGTGATATCTAGATGTGGAAAAGGTGAAAAGTTCGATATTCATTTAATTGATCACTTAGTTTTGATGCGGGTTTCATTTCTCCCTATTTTCCTTTCTCTCCTTACATGAAATGGCTATCTTTCACAATAATAAAAAAAGAAGTGACAATTTCTTCCAATTTGTTTTTTAAGTTTCATTTGCCAATGACGAAAAGATTTATATATAGTTTCAAGATCATTTATTCACTGGCATATGGCTTTCTCTCATGTTTATGGTTTTATGTGGATTTTTTTGCATATTTATGCTTTCATGTGATATGTTTCTGGTTTTCGTATACATTGATGTTGAGGATCTTAGTGCATCATTGGTGATTGTATATAAGCATGCATTTTAAGCCAAAGGGGTAAGTTTTGAAAATTCATGCTTATTTAGGGGACATTTGGACACAGATTATAGATTTTCAATTCCTCGAACCAAATTAAGGTTGCTTTTGATATTGAAGTTTGGGAATTTATCTTTCACTCTTTTTAAGGTTACATGGTTTCTTGGGAGGATGCTAATAGCATTTGTGAAACATTGCATACATGTACATGTTTGTTAATTAATTGGTTCCGTGAAATGTGAATCAACGGCCTGTGAAATATGCTATTAATCTTGAATAATTTGTGGCAGGCCTGCTAGCATTAACTTGCAAAAACTAAAATGACTAAACTCATCAAATCATTAGTAGGGGCTAAAAAGTGGAACTACAAAAGAGTAGTAGCCTTGAGTTCAGTTATAAATAATCAAATTACTCAGAGTAAGTTTGCTACAGTGCATTAGAGAGGGGGGAAAATATGTATTGGTTGATATGCTGATAAAGTAATAAGTGGTAGTTTGATTTGGAGTTCTGTAACATGCATCTTTCTCAATCTCTAACATGTACCTTTAGTGCTGTCTTACCTTATAACTTTGTGGTATTTGAGGAAACATGGAAATTTGTGTGCATGGAGTCTTATGTGCTATGTCTTTTCTATTTTTGATAGTTATACATGTACCTGCTTTCAGCTTCTATCTTGAATACTATCTTAAGTAGATTGCTTTCTATCATACATAGTGAGGCTGATTCTTGGAAAAATTTGTGGTCTTTAAAGCATAATGCGGTAGCTTGGTTTTTTTATTAGATTCTAAAATCTTGGTCTGTAGGCTCAATTTGCAAAGATAAAGAGAATATTACATGTACATCAAATTTGAAGACATTTAGTTAAGAATCAAATTTTAATTTCACCAGTTATTATTTTGGCATTTGCATTTTGCCTTGATATTATGTGTCATGAACACTGCATATCCATTTAACCAACTTCAAGATTTGATTGAAAACCCTGCTATGTTATATCTCGCCAAATTGGTTTTTGTGTTGATCCTATGAGATATTTACTTTATGAGATATTTACTTTTTTTTTTTGTTAACGCAGATCGTGGATATTATTCTGTTGAGACGGTGACATTATTGGTAGCCTTAAAAGTTCGCTATAGAGATAGAATTACGATCTTGCGTGGAAATCACGAGAGTCGTCAGATTACCCAAGTGTAAGATTCTATGCTTTTTTTTACCCTTGTTTTCCTGTGATTTCTTGCATCATTCGAGTTGGACGCACATGTGCTTGATGTGACATTTAGCTACTGTAAGTTGGGTAAAAAATGTTTCTTTCTACTTGTTAGGCACATTTTCATTTCTTACTTCTAGAGTGCTTGTTGATCGCATAAAAAGTTATCGTATGTTGGGTGCTAATATGATGAAGGATTAAGTCACAAGTTTATATGTTATTAGAAGTTGTAATATAGTGGTTAAATACTTTGCAATATGATGAAGAATTAAGTAGCAACCTTGTATATTATTCTTTTCTTTTCTCTATATGAGCTGGGGGAATTGTCCTAAGCAGACTAACATATGCATACTAGTTATCTATCTTCATTCTTTTGCATTTTGAAATGTACATCTGCTATCTCCTCTTTCATAAGCGGCTTGTACAATTGAATGGAAGATTTCTTTTGGAAGCGTTACCACCAGGATGAGTTTTGATGGACCACTTGTTTCTCAGTTAGTGGCTTTCTTAGAGTACTTTTACGAAGAAATAAGGAAAATGAGTTCCTTATTAATGTTATGAATTGCGGTATTTAACGGCATTCTTGAAATAAACTGTTTCTACAATTGGGGCTCATAGTTATCAAATGTGGCTGCATAATGCGTTCTGCGGTCATCGTCACATTCCGCCACCCATATATGCGATGCATCAGCTGCATTTGCCCGCAATGGCTGCATCGCCCATGGGCAAGGGTCTTTCCACGAGCAAGGCCAAAACTATAATTCCCCCCACCCCTAGAAAAGGGGGGAAAGGGTGTTCGGATTTTTTTCTTTTATGAGTTTTAGGGGGGGGCGGGGGGGGGGGGTGGCTTGGTATAACACTGCCCAAAACCCCTAGAATCATGCAAGCATGGTTCTAAGGGGTTTGAAAAAAAAAGAAAAAGAAAAAAAAAAAAAGAGAAACAAAAAAGTTTGTGCTTCCAAAATTCTAGAAAAACATTTGAGGTTTGTTCTGTTTGATATTGTTTTGGGCTTCATTTTTTAAGTTTTCTAGTATAGAGTCAACAAGTATTTGAAGGATTCAAGGCCTTGGAGATTTAAATCCAACGAATTTTCTTTTGATTTGGGGTTTGTAATTTATGTTTAAGTTGTAGCTATGAGGTTGTGGTCGTAAACTTGTGATGCTGAAGTATTTTCGGTCTTTGGATGTTATGTTAAATTGTTAATTGTTGCTAATATTTGGATTGTATGGATTAGTTTATATTACCTCAGATGTAAGACTGTAGAATGTAGACTATGTTACAATTTATCAGAATATCAGTCTATCAGGCAACTCGATCAGCTAATATGTTAGGGAGAAGTACTAAACTAAATTTCCTACTATAACATAAACCACACATTTGTGTTTTTCTATACATTCTCATATTTTTATGATTTTTTTTTAATTTATTAACTATATCACCGTATGTGCCCGCCTCAGTACCACATCCCACATCGAATCCCCAAATGCATTGAGTCCACATCTCACATTAATAACACTGTTGGGGCTTACTGATGAGTAGGCTGCGGTGGACTGGAGATTTGACTTAAGTGAAAATATTTAACTCATGAAGTGAAAATATTTAACTTATGCAGTGAACATTGATGGAAGTAGTAAGAAGAGACACGGTGACTTATGGTCTGATTGAGGGTGTGGCCCTTGATAGAGCAGAATGGCGGAACAAGATTCGCATAGCCGATTGCAAATAGTTGGGGTAGGGCATGGATGATGATGATGGTGATGATTTCAAACTGAATATTAATCAACGACATATAAGCAGTTGTATTACAATTGGTGCATGTGACAAATCTGTTTGTTTCTTAAATTGAAAATACATCGCAAAAAGAGAAACACGATATAGTAAAATCAGTAGACTGCAAGGAAGCATTAGAGCATGTCCTATGGTGCAAAGATACAGAAAGGATTAACTTGAGAGATAGATGGATGTGATCATGTGATGAATGGGTAGTCAAAAAATGTGAGCATAGGGTATTCAAGGGAAATGATTTACTTGCTGGGTTCATTACGAGGGACATTACGAGGGACACTTCTTTATTTACTTGTGTCACTTCTTGATTTAAATCAAATATGCTCAACATTTTCCCGGAAGGGTTCATTACGAGGGACACACTTTGCATTTTGGAGTCCCTTTACCACCTAGGGATGAAGAACTGGAAATTAATCCCATTCAAGAGGGTTTTGGCTGCAAAGTTCATGGTGTTCAAGATAGTGGTTCATTGCCCATAAAACTGTATAAAGTTGTTCCTTCTTTGATTATGGGATGTTTGGGATTACTGATCATTTTAAACTTGTTTATATGGGTGCTGGCCCACAAATCTACCCCCTGAATGCATTTGTTTGGTTGGTGGTAATGATAGGTATTGATTTGTAGCATAGATGTTTCCGAAATCCCAATTTTGTATGTGATGTGTACACTTGCGGAAGAGAAGTGGAACACTTTTTAGTCTTCTGCAAGTTTTTCTAAGGCATTTAGGATATTTCATATGTATCTTTGGGATGAAGCAGGTGTCGTTCCTTGCTAATCTGCTACCTAGAAAGTGGATTATGGTGTTTGCCCTTTCAGTTCTCACTTTTCTGCTGAGAATCGGGAGAGATGATAACAGAATTTTTTTTGGATATCAGGACTGAGTATACATGGCGGTTGAGCGGATGAAACTGAGCAACATACAAGTTTTCTCTAGAGTGGAGTTAAAGGGGTTATTGTTAAGAGGGCCTTTCAAGAATGGGCCATAAACTGGCACGATGCATGTATGGACATGGGAGATGTTTAAATGTCCCATTAAAGGGTATTTTGTCTCAATTTCTTGGCAGGATTTCCCTAAGTAATTCTCCTAAAGGTATTTGGGAACAAATTTCAGACAAGTTTGGGACGTTTGGATGCTATCTGCAAGTTCATTTGGAATAGAAGCTGCGAGTATAGACCTCTTTAGAAGGTTTAGCATCTTTATCCACTCTTTCTTGATCATAGATGTTAATATCCAAGGGCCAGCAGGACGACAAATATAGGCCCATTTTTTACTGGAGATCCATGAACTTGCCTTTTCTTTGGTTGTTTCCTTCCAGCATATGCATAGGAAGTTAATGTAGTAACCGATACTTTGGCATGTCATGGGTCCTCTGGGGTTGGATTTTATCGTGAGACCCCTGACTCCTTTAAGAATCTTATGCACTACACTGCCCAATCTAAAAATTTTAGGCATTGGTTTCGATTGGTCATGATCACTTAAGGCCCGACCGAACACCACTTTGGAACACCTGAAATGGACGGCCTGTGGGTATTCACTGCATTTTCTGTTACCTCAAAAGAACCATTTTCTAGGTATTTTTTGCAATATCATTTGAAGATCTTTTTCCTCATATTCAAGAGTGCGTGCGTGCAAAACTTGGGCCTGCATAAATGCCTCTAAGCCCCTCTAAAACTTGGGAACAAAGCACACTGCAGCAGTATGCCCAAGGGTGGACAGTTTGGCTCTTGTGTTATAAGCTTTCTATTGTGTAATATGGTTAAGTACTTCAGTATTGCTACTCTTTAGTTACAGATGTAATATTCAAACCCCTCACGTTCCAATTCCAATCAACACGTTACTGACTGAACCTTGATAATTTTTGTATTGGATTGTTGTCTTGTAACAGTCAATTCCTATGTGTTTCCTGTTGTTAGCTATCGCCCTTGCTTTCTTCTTAGGTATGCTTTTTGTTAAGTGCCTGAGTTTAGCACTGCTAATTGTAATTGCTTACTCATTTATTTAAGAAAGTAGTCTAGATGTTGACTGTTCTTTTTTTTTTGAAGAGAATTAGTGTTCTTTTTGTTACAAAGTTGGATGTGATTATGAGTCGTCTGTATTATTTACTACTTATTCCTGATATAGGAATCCCTCGTTTTTATGTTTTTTTTACACCTTTCATTGCTTTGCTGAAAGCACATAATTTCTGTTGGTTGTTCAGGCTTCTAATCTTTTGTCTTTCATTTCCAGGTACGGGTTCTATGATGAATGCCTAAGAAAATATGGAAATGCGAATGTCTGGAAGTATTTTACTGACCTTTTCGACTATTTGCCCCTCACGGCCCTTATTGAGAGTCAGGTCTGATGATGTTTGTTTTGACTTTGTATGTTCATGTTTTCTCAGACTAGAATATTGAATATTCTCTTCTGTATGCAGGTCTTCTGTTTGCATGGTGGCCTCTCCCCATCTTTGGATACATTAGAGAACATTCGTGCATTGGATCGTATACAAGAAGTAAGCATCCAGCGTTACGTTGTAGTCTGTCTATGGTATGGACATGCATTGGTAAATAAAAAGCTTGAGAAGTGTCACCAAAGAAATTGGACACCAGAGAGACTCGATGTCAATCCCATCCGGAATTTTATCATGATTTATTCACGGCCTCTCTTACACTAAGTGCAAATTGCTCCATTTCAATATGTATTTTCATCTTAGAATACAGACACCTAGATTTCTAGTGGACTTTGGAGTCTCTTCGATCTCCAGTTGAAGGTTTCCATATTTTTGTTCACTTGTAATCCGGCAAGTTCAGTTGTACCTTTCCTTTAGAGCGGCTGAGGAGAAGTACAAGGTGTTTAAAGACATCAAGCCACTCTTTACCTAGTAACAAGGATAGATGAAACAACTTTGCATAATGACCTGTGATGCACCTAAGAAAAAAAGAAAAAGACCGATGATTCCTGTTGTTGAAAATGGGTGTCATATACCTTTCCTCTCCCTTTGAAAGCTGTGTAGAGTTGGTAAATTGATTTTTGATTGCCGACTCATTTAACTTTGTACATATTTTAAGTTCCACAAATTACTACTACAAATGTAAAAGCGAAGTTTCTTAGGTTCCTCTTTCTTAATCTCAATGTACCAGTTTCTTTTTCTTTTTCTGGCTTTTTTCAACTTTGATCTGTATAGTTTATCATAATGTTGTCTTTTAGCAGTCTATATGAGCAGTATCCCAAATTTTACATGGACGCTCCTTAGTTGTAAGAAGTGATCGCTGTGAAAATTTTCTACCTGTTTAATCTTTCCGGGGTTTTGGTGCTGGATGGTACAGTGTTGTATGTAAGATGTACAATTTTATATTTTAGACCAAAATTTGGCTGATCTGAAGCTTTTTAAGTTGTTTTTATTAGAAAATGTGCATGTGAATTTCAAAATTATAAACTGCAGCTAAATTTCAAGGAATCCATTCCTTTATTGGAGAGTGGTATAAAATTGATACCCCGGTTTCTGTCCTCCAGTTCTAAATGAACCATAACTATGGAGAGTATTAGTTTCATTGGAAAGATATACCATTTCTTTTAGTAATGAACCATAACTTTTTAGAGATTATGAATCAACATTTGCTCTCAGGAGTCTGCACAACTGGAAATGTTGCAACTAGGAGAAAATGGAGATAGAAGAATGAAAAGAGATGGGAAAGAGAGATTAACTGAAAGTTTGGTTTGGTTTCGAGAGATTAACTGAAAGTTTAGTTTGGTTTTTAAGTATTTGAATCCTGTTTTTTGGGTTCTAATGTCCAATGGCCACGCAGGTTCCACATGAAGGGCCTATGTGCGATCTTCTATGGTCTGATCCAGATGATCGATGTGGATGGGGTATCTCCCCCAGAGGAGCTGGCTACACATTTGGGCAGGACATTGCCGCCCAGTTCAACCACACAAATGGCCTCACCCTTGTTGCAAGAGCACATCAGCTTGTCATGGAAGGCTTCAATTGGTGCCAGGTAAGAGAGAGAGAGAGAGAGAGAGAGAGAGCATTCTGTTATTTTTTGGTAGTTCTAGGCGGTTGTGGAAATAATATCTGCAACTTTCCTTAAAAAAAAGCAAAAATGGGTGCAATCTTCCTTCAGTAATGCCATAGTTTTCTCAGCCTTTTACTCTCTTTGTGGCAGGACAAGAATGTGGTTACCGTGTTTAGTGCCCCGAACTACTGCTATCGCTGTGGGAACATGGCGGCAATAATGGAGGTTGGAGAGAGCATGGAACAAAGATTCCTTCAATTTGACCCCGCTCCAAGGCAGATCGAGCCCGACACAACTCGCAAGACCCCCGACTATTTTTTGTGATCCCCTACATCTTTCTGTCTCTATCTCTCTCTATTCGTGCTTTCCACGAGTCACATTCCTACTGTGCTTGTGTAGATGTGTCTTAGCATAGAGAGGAGTTATGATGGTGAGGGAGTCATTCTTTTGTTTGGAGTTGTGCTGCTCTTCTTTCTGCTGCTTCTGTTGTTTACTAAGTAAAGGAAGAAAACTCTCAGAGAGCCTTTATTGTGAAGAGGAAGCAGCAATAACAGACCCATTTCTCTCTTCCCCTGTGTCACCACTGAATAGAAGCTCTGCTCAAGATGGTCACGTTACCGATAAATGAGCTGGTAGTGAGAAACCACAAGCAAAGAGTTTCTTGGTGTTGTTCTTCTGTGTGGTTTATTGCACGGGATTGAAAAACACTATTTTGAGAGGCAAATAATAGTGTTTAGGGGTTCTATTGAGCTTTAGCCTCTTTGTCAAGTTTTTTTGTTTTTTTTTGTATGTATGAAAGGAGAACCCCGCTAGAGAGAGCGAGGAGAGTATTGTCGGGCTGCAGCTCGTGGCCGGGGCCTGACACTGAGTATGCTTTTGTATTAGGTTGTTTGCTTTTTGGGGTTTGTGATAATTCTTTGTTTTTCATTTTCTTTTTCATTGGGTGAGTTTGTTTCATTCTCTCTTATAGATTTATGATTGTAGACTCAGCTTTTTATCATGAACAGTGATGGTGCTTTGGCCATTTAAGACTCTACAAATGAAGCCTGTGCAATACAAAGGACACTGCTTATGTGAACACATGATTTGTGTTCCAGAGGGATTGTTTCTGGTCAAAGAAGAAATGAATTGTTCTATTGTCATGGAGGCTTTGAGAATCGAGCATGAAAGAAACTCTAGGTGAGAAAGGGTATCAATTTGTTGCCGCTTTTCTATGAAAATTCACTGTTTGAATTCGTCTGACCATTCAAGGGAAAGAAAGTTCATAGAGAAAAGGTATTGTCGTGGGAGGCAATTGCACTGTGACCTAGCTCGAGTGGTTTGCAGCTAATGTCAGGCAATGCTACATCATGTGCCGTGGGTCGTCATGCACGTAGCCGTTTATCATTAAAATATAAGAAATTTATAGAAATATATGACATGTGAACCATTTGACATTTTACTCTAGGCGTATTCTGAATTATGATACATTTCAAAACCTATTTTGATGTATCATTTGATGGGCTATTTGAAATTTAATTGAAACAATGGTGGGAATTTGACTTTAGATCAAAAGATATGGGCGAGATGTTAAATGGTTCAAACTATAGGTATAGTCTGATCAATTTCCTTTAAAACTATTTGAACAAGTAGAGGAACAATACGCACCATCTATTCGTTGTTGACATTGGATGGTAATGAACAAGTTGCTAATGAACTATAGGAAGCTCAAGTGGTAGCGCCGTATGCAACCCATGTAATTACGGTCCAATTAAGGCCCACCTCCAAATTTTATCGTAACATACATATAATTGTGGTGTAGATCTATAAACATTTGAAAATATTGAAAATAGACGGTCTAGATAATGTGTTGCAAGATGTACTATGTTTTATATTAAAGTTCAATTTTATATATATATATATATGCATACATCTCATTGTCGAGAGTATCAATTAGAAGGTTTCTCAACATTAAAACAACATTTTTTTGATAGATTTTTGAGGTGCATCCTTAATTTTATATATATTTTTTAAGGTTGCAACTTTATATAAACTTTTTCCATCAAATATTCAGCAACAAGAGTTTTGATATGATATGCCTTTGCTAGATCTGTTGCAGAAACTGTACAATTGTGAGGGAAATCAACCAAAACACCTCTTTTTACTTTTAAAATTTAAAAATAGTCTTGTACATTTTATATTTAGGTTCGAAATTTCTATTATATATTTAGGTCCCACATTTCTACAGTGAATATCGTATTTTAATTTTATGCCTTTTTTTATATATCCAATTAAGTTCAATGTACTCTATAAATTTCAATGTACTCTATAAATTTCAAAATTTTACAAGTATTTTGGTTATTTTATTTATTTTAAATTTTTTAAGTACTTTTTATAAATGTAAAATCGCGCGAAGAATCAATTCATTAAATTTGATCTTAATATGATGTATAAAAAATAAAACCGAAATAAAATCACACTTTTAAAATGTGAGACAAGTATAAACATTGAAAGCTATTTTTCAATTATGATAATAAAATAAGATCTTTCACGAATTTCCCATAAAAATATTACAGGCCCACTTTACGGGAAGAAGGATTCGAACGACAAACTCCTCGATTACACACGTCTCTTAGGTTCTAAATATGTGTTGACATTTGAGTGACACCGACATCCGTTATGACACGTATATAGACGAACAGAACATTCCCGTTCAGTATCCAGCACCGTTGGCCTTTTTTTGGACAGGTTTATTTTTTAGCACGTATATATACTTCTACTCCCTCAGGTAGTAGACCTTGGGGGATTTTTTTCAATCTTAAATTTGGGGAACTATTAAAAAACTCTTAGATGATTATTTTTCAAAAAAAAAAGAATTTTAAATCTTAATTTTTTAATATTTCGATCTCATCATTTAAATATTGGATGGTCTCTATTTAATCTTGAGATATATTTTTTTTTTCAAGTGCATTGAGCATACAATTTGATTTTTTTTATTAAGGTTAATCTATGGGTTGTAAAGATTGTATCCCCAAAATTTGAGGTCCTAAAATAAAATCTAGATGAGCTTTTACCTTAGCAAATAGACATTCTAAAGTAGAATATCTTTTGGCTTCATTTTTAGAATGGGGTATTTCTGAAACACCATTTTTTTTCAACAAAAAATATTTTATTTTGAAAATAAAAAAATATTTTTTTTTAAAATATCCATGTCTATATGCATTACTTTTTAAATGACCATTCTTCATAAAATATTTTTTTGTCTTTTATTTTCAGATGTAAAAAACTTGAAGCCCATTTGCATGTTTTAAGCAGGACAGTAGTCCATGTTTGCTCAAGTCAATTTTGAAATGTCTAATATATATAAGTTAGTTTTTTTTTAAAAAAATTCGGGTTTACATAAGTAATTTGGAAACGCATTATACTTTTCTTCAAAACACATATAAAAATTCTTTTCATTTTGAATTAATAATTAGCCTAGTAAGTTTATTTATTTTCCATGTTGGTACGATACAACCTTGGATTGAAGACATTTTTTTTTTTAATAAACTTCAGATTCACTTGATAATTTTTTGTTTATTAATTTCATTTACTCTTTTTTTTTAATGCTTTACTATTATATGAATTGTAGTATATTAAAATGGGAAAAGTTTATATAGAGCCGGGCTCCAAACAATCAAATTAGAGCCCACCTCAAAAATTTTACTTGAAGAGGTTGTTTTGAATCTGGAAGATGACATGATGCCACATGGCCAGAGTGTGAATACTAGCTTTGGACCACACAGGGCTATTTTTTATTTTTTTATTTTTTATATTTTTAAAAAGGTTGTTTTGATGCCTGAATATCATCAAATTGATCATCTCGACATCAAGATGCATGAACATGAAAAAACAAATTGGATTTCAAGTTTTGGAAATAGTGTATCTTATAACGCATTTTTGGACTATCAATTTTTAATATTTCAAGTTTTTATAGATCTACTCGATTTACACTATTTTTGAAGCTTTAAATTTTATATTTAAAGGTGAAAATATATTTTAAGGCTATCACAAAGATTTTCAGCATTGAAACCACATTTTTTGACACTATTTGAAATTGGGCTCTAATTGGATTGTTTAGAGCCTCGGCTCTATACAAATTGCACCTTATTTAAATATACATTATTTTTAATATATGTAGGTATATATAAGGTGGGGTGGTTTCTATAAGGTTGCAACCTTAAACAATCTAATTAAGGCACACTTCCAAAATTTTTCATAACATTTAATTTTGATGTAAAAAAATATTAGGATTATTTCAAAATCTATTTTCATATCTAATTACAAAATTTTAAATTTAAAAAATGGTTAAAATCAAGTAGATCTATAAACATGTGAAAATCTTGAAAATGGACAGTCTAGATAATGTGTTGCAAGATGCAATATTTTTAGGATTCAAAATCTTTTTTTTTTTTTTCATATTCATACATCTAGTTGCCGAGATGATCAATTAGAGGGTTTTTCAACATTAAAAAACTTTTTCTGAGATTTTTGAGGTGCATCTGTAATTCTACATTTTAAGGTTGCAACCTTATATAAACTTTTTCGATATATGATACATACACCACCCACATATTACACAGATGTGCCCCGGAAAAAGAATTCTACTTTGACATCCTTTATGACAAGTCAATTTTGGGATATGCAAGAATCTCGTTTCACGATACAAAAGGCGTTAATATTTGTGAGGAACGAAAATTGTTTGCTTGAAATGCACTTCTATTTATTTATGGGATTGTATAGGAGACTATTTACCTTTAATATAGAGATATCACAATTGCCTTCATCATCCAATATAAAATTTGATAGCTTGGATATATCATAAAGTTCGAGAAAACCTCTTTTTAATTTTGACCTTGGTCAATGAAATAATGCAATCTCCCAATTTCACATTTGATGGTCAAGATTAATTGTGACCACTTTAAATCAAATGTAAATGGTATCATTATATACTTTTTTTTTAATTTAGATATTGTTGGCACCTAGTGCCTTGATTTACATATTTGGATTGAAGGGTGCTACTCTATAGTAGTACTAAACCCAAATAATCGCAAAAAAAGCTTTGATGATGATAACAACGACAATCCATGGCAAGATAACCTACCCATCCACTTATAACACTGAATCAACCCCTGTTAAGATAATTTGCTCTGCACTACTACCACATGCTTTACCATGTGATGGATAAAGGCACTCAAATCGTCGGTGATGGATAACTCTGGCAAAGAAACTCCCATCTTAACATGCCCGTCGGCTACATCATTAGCTTCTCTATAGTCGTGTGGAAAAAGGACGTCCAATGAGTTGCAAATATTCATGATATTCGTTTGTATCTTGAACAAAGTTGTTCTAAATAAACCCAAGAGAGCACATTAAATCAGAGATTTAAAAAGGAACAATGTTTATAAGGTTGCAACTTTAAAATGTAGAATTAAAGATGTACATAAAAAATCCATCAGAAATGGTTGTTTTAATGTTCTTAAGAGTTTTTTATACCGAAATTACATGTTATGATAAAATTTGGAGGTGTGCTTTAATTGGATTGTTTAAGATTGCAACGTTATAAAAATCTCACCCTTAAAATAATGGATTGGTGACCCGAATTGGGAACTCTAAAAACCAGTATGGATAAGTGAATCGACGGTCTATATCGCTACTTTACTAGAAGGAAAAAACAGTGAACCGATGAAAAACACGTGAAAAAACAGCCAACCGGCCAAAAACCAGTCCAAATCGGTGAATCGACAATTGGGATCGCTATTTCGCTGTAGAAAATCATCATTTTACTATGCAGAACTGTTGGTTCCGTTCCAAACTCGGCATTTTCTTATATATATATATATATATATATATATAGAGAGAGAGAGAGAGAGAGAGAGAGAAGAACTACTACCAACGACTAGTAGACGAATAGAATAGTAGTACTTCCGCCTACTCTCTACTACCTACCGTACCTAACGTTACTACGTCGTCGGTCGGTCGACGTATT